ATAAGGTTTCTTACAGAATTAATTTTAGTATAACTTATAAACTATTATAAAATCGAACCATCAAAGGTAATTTTGTGCCAAAAGCTACTATTTCACAAAATTTTATGTAAATCAAACGACAAATAGAAATTTATCGAACAAATCGGTCGCACACCCACTTCCAAGAAGGGAAAGTATACCCATGTTAATTAAGGCAAATAGCTTCAAGTCTAAACGAACAGTGGTATATGGTTGATCGGTCAGGCATTGGGGACAAATCCTTTTACATATAGATTTTTTAATTTTATTTTACATATTTGAATTTATTTTTTTCAATTTTATTCTATTCGTGTTTACATTCAAATTTTATTTATTTTATAATAGTTTATGTTAATAGCAATTTTTTTTTTATTTTTTTCCTTTATTTAATATTTATTTAAGTTGAGTGTATTTTACTTTATTTTTAATTTTTTTTTTTGTATTTTTATTTAGCTTTACTTTAAAAACTTTATTTTATTTCTTTGTTTACATCGAAATTTGCTTTATTTCATTTTTTGTTTAAGTTTTGTTTACTTCACTTTATTTTAATTATTTTATTTGTTAATTTAATTTAATTTGATTATTTATTCTATTCTAAATTTGATTTATTTTATTTCGGTTTATTTTCCTTTATTTTACTTTTTTGTTTTAATTTATTCTAGTAATAATTATTCTAATTGTTGATTTAATTTAATTATATTTGATTTTGGTAAAATGTTTTAATTTTATTATTTTTTATAGATGAAATGAAATGATATTTTGTTATTTTTTTGGTATAATTTTATTTCTCCTGATTTTAGTTGAATTTGATAAATTTTCTTGGATTTTAATTTTATTTATTTTCTACTTTCAATTATTTGATGTTTTTTATGTTTTTGATTAATTTTATTTTTTTTAAATTCTACTTTATAAAAAAAAGTATGTAATGAAATTATTTAATTATTATTTTTTTTTTTTAATTTATTTTGTAATACTTTTTTGTTTTATTTCGTTTTCTGACTTATTTTTTTATTTTAATTTTTTGAAACCCATTTGTAATCATGTTTATTTTATTTTAATTTGTTTTTTTTTTCTTAATATTTTTATTTTTAATCTTCATTTATTTAATATTAATTTTAACTTTCATTTTATAAGCCATTTGTTATTAAGTTTATTTTGTTTAAATTTGATTTTATTTTTTTTTTTTAATTCTCGCTTTTTTAATATTTCGTGTGTTTATTAGTTAATTTTCTTTTTTTAAATTGTTTTTAATAATAAAAAAGGGTGTAATTACTTTATTTTAGTTTTACTTTTTTTATTTTATTTTAATTCTTGTTTTTTATTTTGTTTCGCAATTTTTTTTGGGTTTAATTTATTTGTAAGTTATTGATTTTAATTTTTTAAATTCCATTTTTTATTGAGTTATTATATAATACGAGTAAAATTTGCGCTTTGTAACTATTGAAGTAGTTGCATTTTGTTGTCTTGATGTTAGAAATCTTATCGCAGGTAATGTCAGCCTGCCGAGAGGCGACGGCAATTTAACTTACGTATTTTATCCTATTTGTTTATTTCCTTGTATTTTATTTTATTTTAAATATATAATTTATTTTTAAGATGTTTTTAATTTTGTTTAATTTGTTTTTGTTTGCTTTTATTTATATTTTTAATTTTTGTTTTTATTTTAATATATGTTTTGCGATATTCTCTTTGAATTTTCCTAAGTCATTCTGTCTCGCCTTTTTTTTATTTTTAATTAATTTTTTCTTATTTGATATTTTTTTATGACTTTGATGTTATTCATTTTAATTATAAATTATAAAATATATATTATTATTATTTTTTTAGTTATTTAATTCTATATATTTTATTTTCATTTTAATTTTAAGCATTGTCTACATAAGTAATGTATTTTTATTTTGTTATAATTTTTTTAAGTAATTATATTATTTTTATTTTTATTTTTATTTTTATTTTATTAAATTTCTTTTAATTATTCTGTTTATATTATTGCGGTTCTATTTATCTTGTTGTGTTCTATTTTATTTCATTACATTCTTTTTCTATATATATTATTTAATTTTACTCATTTTTGTTATATTGTTGAATTTCAATTTTGTTAATTTTATTTCTTTCTGCTTTAATATAATTTATTTTATTTTAATTTTGAATTTGTATTTTTTTAATCCACTATATTTTATTTAATTTAATAATAATTGCGCCTGTCTATTTCCGAAAACGAGCGTTGGTTATAAGCTCCAAAAGCGCTTTCCCTCTTTGCATTGTTGTAGCAGAAATTGCGTTCTACATCTACCTGTCGTAGTTATTGCAGTTGTCCTCCACATTTAGTTTTGCCATAATACACTTCATATACCGTAATCTCCTGCTGGTGGCAGTTATTTTTATTGTTTTCGGTGTAGTGGATTTTCATACCTCATAATGTGGGTAATTTTACAAAAGATTTTGTAAATAATTTTCTTTCTACCTCAAAAGTGTGGGCGAAATCACGTATCGTTGTACAACAAACAAAAAGATTAGCGGTATATTTGAAAACCACTTGAGCTTTTATTACAATTTAGCTAGTCTTTTGTTTTGTTTATGATTGCAATTTGTGATTATTTTCGTCATTCGGATGCATGGGTGTGGAAAAGTTAGAGGATTTCGTAAAAGCTGCTTAAGGTGTGTAGGAAAATTTGAACATTTAAATTGTGAATTTGGGCAATTCATGATTTTCAATGGAATTTAAGGCACTAATTTTAGATTTAATTGTGTTAACTATATTTTAAACATTTAATTTACTGTTATTTCGAATGAACCATAATAAGCTTATCAGTTTTTAATTTAATTCATTCAATTATACAGATGCATAATTTTCAATTAATTTTCATCTTAAACAGCAAATACTTGCACAAGCCAAGACAATATGTCATAAATACATTAGTACATATGTATTTTTGTATAAGCTATACATACGAATAAGTTCTTTTCTCAATATATAAGCATTTTGTTTGTTCATATTTGTAATTATTTTATGTAAATGTGTTATTTAAATCTTAATTACAAACTCAGCTTACCAACATACACACACTCATTTACATTTTGTTTGACAGGAATATGTTTATTGTTCTGGTACATTTATGTGTATTAAATTGGATTATTTTAAATGTGGTTAACAACTTAAATATTTCATGATTACTTGTCCGAATTTTGTGCAAACATTTCATGTTAATTCCTCATACAATTAGCTTAAATGAAATGACTTTTCATCAACTAGTATGTATTGCTATGGCAATAAACTAACATAACCGCACATATATCCTTTACAGCGGTAGTAACTGTAGAGTTGTTGGTATAATTTCTGCACTTCAGATAAGATAATTAGGACTTCTAAGGCCTTTTCTTCAGAGAATTCAGGTAAAAAACATATCACAACCCATAAAAAAGGAGGTTTTAGTGAAATTTTAATGTTACTATGAAATTCTATCAAGTTTAAAGAAATAGAAACAGTGGTGGTTCACTAGTATTTGTACGTGGACATTCAATTCAGCTGAAACAACCTATTCTAATTTAGTACTTACTTATAATTTACTAAACAATATATAAATCAAAGATTCATCGCAACACTAAATTTCATGTTGATAAATAATGTCAATACGTTCGGTGGAAACATTTGAAAATGTTATCGTTAAAGCGGTAATCAAAATTAAGTTATTTTCATTTTTACCCGCTCCGAAGAGCTGAATATAATGCTAAATCGTTAACAGATGCTGTTAAATCGTGAACAGAAAATGTTAAATTAGTAACATATAATGTTAAACGTTAACAGGCAATGCTAATCGTTAACAGGCAATGTTAAATCGTTAGCAGATAACGTTAAAGTTAGCAGGTAATGTTAAACATTAACAGATAATGTTAAACATTAACAGATAATGTTAAACATTAACAGATAATGTTAAGCATTAACAGATAATGTTAAACATTAACAGATAATGTTAAAACGTTAGCAGATAATGTTAAATCGTTACATGATAATGTTAAAACGTTAGCAGATAATGTTAAATCGTTACATGATAATGTTCAACATTAACAGATAATGTTAAACATTAACAGATAATGTTAAAACGTTAGCAGATAATGTTAAATCGTTACATGATAATGTTAAAACGTTAGCAGATAATGTTAAATCGTTACATGATAATGTTCAACATTAACAGATAATGTTAAACATTAACAGATCATGTTAAGCATTAACGGTCTGGTGCTTCAAGTGGAGAGGTTTGTTTGCCTTGCATCTAACTTATATATAAGTTAAAAACCATAAATAAAAATAAAAAAAAAACAGATAATGTTAAATATTAACAGATAATGTTAAATCGTTAGCAGATAATGTTAAACATTAACATATATTGTTAAATTGTTAACAGATAATGATAAATTTTTAGCAGATAATGTTAAACATGAACAGAAAATGCAAAATATTAAAATTTTAGTGCGCTGGTAAATCGCAATAGACAGCCATTTTAAAAAAATTATCAATTACCAATTCAATATAGTTTCAATAATATGCCGACGAAACAAAGCAAAATCATTTTGTTAAATTTATTTTTCATATTAACCAAAAGGAATGACATCATTTTGTTAGTTAAGCATATATGATATAAATAATTAAACACATCATTCAAGCTTCAAATGCTCTCAGCAGCCTTCATCACAAAATCTCATCACCACGAGAACCGCACTCAGTCACTATTGTTGCTGCCTCAGAGTTGCATCGCAATAATTTTGTAAATAAAATGGAATGATCTAACACACGAGCGAAAAAATAAGAAATTTTGTACAACGCACACTAATAAACTTATTAATAAACACACATAAACATATAACACTTGTATATTTTTTCGTACACATATAATTCATGCGTCCAACCTCTTCTTTTTCCTTTTCTTCTTCCCTTTCTTCCTCCTTCGCTCTGTGCACACCGCATTACTTCTCCATGCACACAGATTGATTTGGCTCATCATCCGATGTATTCGACGAGTCCCATGTTTGGTGGACAGACGACCATTACTGGTGTCACCATGTCACATCCCTCACAATTGGCTACATTCACACCGCCACCACCTCTATTCACGCATAAGGTGATTAGCGCTGCGCAGTCGCAGTCGCTGCCACCAAACGTTGCAGCAGTGCCGGTAAGCAGTAATGGTTTATTGCAGACAGTAACTGCTGGTGGCGGTTTGGTGTGTATGGGTATGCCACCACATTCAGCAGCAGCAGCAGCGGCGGCAGCATCGATGTTGTGTGCGGCGCAGCAACAACAAGCACATTCACCACCAACGAGTGTCAATGGTATGACAGTGAGCGGTTATGGAGATGTGGTAAGTATTTTACGAAATCTAACATAATTATAATTAGTTAGAAGAGAACTAAAATAGCCGTGACTAGGAAACTAAATAATCGACTAGTAATTTCCAAGAACTTGAGAAACTGTGTATTCTAATTAATTTTCTGAGCTTCATAAATAGTGTGAAATCTAGAGAGATATTGAAGAACCTAATTATAAATCTGTAAACCATATAATATATGACCACATTTTTCTTCGAATATTTATACTCTCTTGCTTCTACTTACATTCTTAATAACTGTTAGAGAACCTATGCTCACCATTTTGCGCAAAAACTTTGGCGATCTAGCAGTCGAACTAGATCTTAATCTCCCTCTTCTTTGGTAGTTAGCGTCTTGGGACCAAAAATTTAGATATTGTTTTATATCTATGAAAAGTGAAAATAGAGTTTGAGTCCTCTTAAAGATAGGCTCCCAGATATAGGTATTAAGTAAAGCAACAACTACAGAGAACAAGCTGAAAATATTCATACGGAAAGTATAGATCAATTTCAATTTTAAGTTCAATAGCAATCGGATTCGTTCCAAATGGACTAAGAGTGGCGTAATGTAACCTGAAAACCGGAAGAAATTAAGGAGATTGACCATGTCATGTCATTGAGACCAAGATATGAGAGATATTATCCCACCTTATTGAAGCTCGAAGATAGATACATATTTAGACGGAAATAATAACAAGAGATGATCAGTTTAGGGAAATATGAATATAAGAGTCTGCAAGCAATCATTTTATTATTAATACATGGAGACCTCACAGTCGTAAGCATTACATATAAGGTCCTTTAAAGTATATTAAATGAAAAATTAGGCTTACCGTCAATGAACTGCTCCCAGCTAATGAAAGTGTCTTCACATTTTGGACATTCAAAATTTTGAGAATGTACCAGATTTCTTCTACTCATACATAAGAGTCAGCATAAACACCGAACACAATACCAGCCTGGAAAGCCAGCTCATATCACTCCTTCGAATAGGTGTTACTTTGGATTCAGTAGACAAAAATCATATTTCCACGAACGAAGGTCTACATTATGTTGCAAAAGCGTAAATATCCGTTGACCCAGTTGTGGTTCTAAGAGTATGGACGGCGGTGAATAATACCACAGACCATGGAACGAAAAGCTGTGCGAGTTATATGGCGACATTGGCATAATTCATCGATTTGAGAGACAGACGCTCCTTTGCAAAAATCAAGTTGAGAGATAACTGGTTTCGCTCGGTGTATCCAATTGGCGCCAAATGTTTGTAAAACTAAGTGACGGAAGCGCCATTATGAGCCCGGCAAATATATGAACTAATGAGGGATCCGTATGAAAGCTGTCGCTTTTCTCCCGGAAGCAGATTTAATTTCGATGGTTTTTTCTTTTTTTCCTTCGTTAGAGCTGCACGGTAAATATCAACTCAGCCTTAACTTCTACATTTGCATGGGTATACTTATCCAGACAATACTGTACTCAAGCAAATACAGTATCTGGGTGATCAAAAGTGCTGAAATACTGGATATTATTATTTTTACAAAAAATACGTTGAATTTTAAACGAAAATAGTTTGTATAAAATACAATAAAACATAATTTGCAAACTCATTCGGAGTGCAAAACAATTTCATTTAGCAATGTCAACAAGCTACGCCCCAAAAATACCACCAACTGAAATAACAACTATCAAAAAAAAAAAAAAACAAGAAAACTGGAAAAGTAATAAAGCAGAAACCCAAAAACTCATACAAAAGCGAAACGAAAATGGAAGTAGAAGTAGAAGCGACTTAAGGCGAAACAACAGAAAAATGGCAGTTGGAAAATATTTTCGCATTGCCCAATGGGCAAAAAAAGAAGAAGAAGAAATTGTACAATAATAGCAGAAGGAAAAAATAATAAACTACAGCAAACTAAACGAATGAGTATCCTCGAATGAATGAAAATAAAAGCGATAAACTAGAGCACAACGAAAATTTTTGCAAAGTCAACAACAATAAGTAGCATTTTAGTAACAGAAAAAACTGGTTGAAATAAAATAGTTAACAAATAGATAACGTAAAAATGAAATATTTAAAAGAGAAAAAATATAATATAAAAAAAGAGAAATAGGAAATGACAAAAGTGCGGCTGCCTTTTTCTAACTTTCAGCAAGTAAATGAGGCGTGCATTATGCGCGTGGACGAGCACTTTTTGAGAGCCACTGGAAAGTTATCGTGGCAGCTAAGTTGCAATGGTAGAAAAACTCAGCGTTTAGTAGCACGCACACTTAACGTGCTTGCACTTTACTGATTGCAATGTGCCTTTTAATAATTCACTCTCTTCCTCTCTCTCGCTCCTTGACCTTTTATATCGTCTATTGGCATATTAAGAACTTTCGAATGCAGTCGTTCGTTCGTAAAATTTTTTCGAGATAGAAATGGTCACATTAAGTTGTGGCTTTGTTTAATTTATTTTTTTGTATGCATTCTCATGCTCGCTTACACAAAAGTTAAATACAAGTAAATACAAACTAATAACAATGGCCAAGCTTAGCGCAATTTTAAAAGGGGCAGCGCAGAACGTGGGTGCTTTGTGTACTTTTGAAATTACAAACCATTACCACTAGTATTTTCTGTGTAAATACCATTGTTAATGCCTTTTTGCAATCAAATTGTTAGTGTGACTGTACCCTCTGCTCAAGTGGTTTTTGTAGTAGTTTTTGCACTTGTGTATGTTAGCAGAGGAAGTATGGCGTTAACAAAAGTGCGAATTTGTTTTTCATAAATTTTTAGTGCCATTTAAGTAAAATAGTGAATTACAAAATTAATTTTGCAGAAGCAACAAAGCAGATGAACTGACCTTTATTTTTCAGTGACTTTTAAATTGGGGCAGTGGATATGCAAATTTCTAAACTAAAGTAACATGCATTAAAAAAATTTATTAAAATAAAAAATTGAATAGCAAAAACCTATTAATTGAATATTTAAAAAAATTAACTTAAACAAAAAAAAAAGAAAATAAAATATAAAAATCAAATAAAATGTAAAATCAAAAGGGTAATACAATAAAACAAAAAAATGGAATAGAATGAAATAATATTAAGTAATATAAAATTGAAAAGAAGTAATATAAAGCAAAATAAAATAAATTAATAAAAAAGCAAAATTAATAAATAAAATAAAATATATACAAAGTATTGTAATATAAAAATGTAAATAAAATAAAATTAAATAAAGTAAATAAACAAGTTTAATATATACAATGCAAACTAAAACAGAAATAGAAAATCAAGCAAAAAATTAATAATATAAAAAAAATAATATAAAATAAAATGAATAGAAACAAAATATAACAAAAAAAGTAAACAGAATAAATTAACTATAATAAAATATAACATAAAAAATGAAATAGTGTAAAAAAAAATAAAATAAAAACAAAAAAATATAATAATATAAATAACAATAAAATAATATAAAAAGAAATACTAAAAAATAATAATGTAAAATAAAATAAAATAAAATAAAATAAAATAAAATAAAATAAAATAAAATAAAATAAAATAAAATAAAATAAAATAAAATAAAATAAAATATAATAAAATAAACTAAAATAAAATAAAGCAAAATAAAATAAAATCATGTTAAACAAAAAAAGATAAAAAAAAAAATTTAATACAAGCAAATAAAAAAAATTAAAATATAATAAAACGAAACAAAATAAGGTAAAATAAAATAAAAATATATAAAATAAAGTAAAATTATATGAAATGAACAGAATAAAATAAAGTTATGTAAAATAAATTAAATTAAAATAAAATAAAATAAAAAAATTGAAGTGAAATAATATAAAAAAATAAAGTAAAAGAAAATAAAATAAATTGAGGTACTATAAGTAAAAAAATATTGAAATAGTACTAAACAAAGTAAAATAAAATACCATAAAACAAATTTAAATAGAAATAAAATAAAAATTTCAATAGAATCGGATATGAAATCGAAATTAATTCGAATGATTAATTTATTTTCTCCTATGGCTCAACAAAACATTGTGAATTTAATAGTTAATTTATTAAATTTTTTACAGTTGCCAAGTGTTTTCATATATGTAGTAGAATATATTTAATTCTTCGTTTCAACACTAAACGTTTATGTGTTTATTCTTCTTTATTTCTCTCCCCAGAACCCCAGCCCGGGCATACTGAAAACGGTCCCAGAAGAGGTACATCATCAAATTAACGGTGAGGATGTGCTCATCACAAAGGATCGCAATCATGCTACACGCTTTTGACGGTAAATTACAATTATTGAGACGCTAGAAATGGCGCAATAAACGAATGAGCCAAAACCAACACAGGATGCAAATAAGAAGTAGCAACAAAATAAGCATGCAAAAGCGAAAATGTTAACAAATATATAAGCAGAGTATGAGAAATGAGAGTGTGAAAAATAACTGAATAAAGAGACTATAATGGATTGTGATGAAAATAAATAAATCAAATAAGGATATTAGTGAAAGAAATAGTAATGAAATGAAATGCATTGATTCTACACCAAACATTGCTAATTATATATTTTCCATATATATATATATAAATCATATATGTCAAAACGAAACACACACGCACTTTTTAGTAACACACAAACCAAGAATTAGCAAACCCTATAAGAAATTGAATTTGAAGTGAGTGAAAATTTGAGAAAAGTTATCAATACTTTCAATACTTGATAAGTTAACAAATGGTTAGCGGTACATACTCTTCTGTGAAGGCTCATGGTCTCGAACTTAGGTCATCGCAATATAAAAAACTATAAGTACATAATTTAAAAATAATTATTTTTCAACTGCGGCTGCCTGGCGACCAATTCATATATAATAATAATGGAGAATACTGCAAATATTTTTATGCAATAAATTTTAAAAAAGATATTATTTTATTCAGTGTAAAAGTATTGAGTGGTCATTACAAAGAATTGAGGGAGTTATATTAAAAGAATATTCAGCGGTGACACGGAATGGTTTATGTGCTTCTGTTTTTTAATTTAATTTAATTTAGTTTAATACAAATTTATTTTATTTTACTTTACTCTGTGTTATTTTCTGTATTTTATTTCAAATTTTCTAATTTGTTTTACTTTATTTTATTTTATTTTATTTTATTTGTTTTAATTTTTTCTTTTATTTTGTTTTAGTATATTTTATTTTATTTTATTTTATTTATTTTATTTTATTTTATTTTATTTTATTTTATTTTATTTTATTTTATTTTATTTTATTTTATTTTATTTTATTTTGTTTTATTTTATTTGTTTATTTTTAATTTATATATTTTATTTTAATTAATTCTATTTGATTTTTTTTTATATTTTATTTTTTTTTTTTAGTTTATTTTATTTTAATAGAATTTATTTAATTTAATTTGATATGATTTGATTTGACTTATTTAAATTTAATAAAATTTTATATTGTAATAACTGTAACTATATTTAACTATTTTGTATTTTATTAATTTGATTCATTAAATTTGTATTTAATTTCTATTTTATATACTTTTATCTTATTTAATTTAAGTTTCTCGAATTTGTATTTTTATTATTGTTACTTCGTTTGATTTGATTTAATTCAATAAAAATGCAATATGTTTTATTTTAACTTAGCCATTTTTTTGTTTTGAATTTAATTTTTTTTAATTTAATTTATTAATTTAATTAAGATTTACTTTATGTTGTTCCATTTTTAATTATTTTTATTTTATTTCATTTTAATTTATTTAGTTTTTTTATTTGTAAAAAAATTTATTTAAATTTCATTAATATAATGTTTTTGTATATTTTTTTACTTTGTTTTCATTTTATGTAAATTTATATTATAATTTTTTTTATAATTTAAATTATTTTTTTTTGTTCACTTTATATTATTATGTGAAATTCGAAAAAATTTTAAAACCTTCAGATTGAGGGTCAACAGAAAAATTTCAGAACCAATTAACTATTCCACACAACACTGTACTCTTGCAATTTTATATAATTGGAAGTTAAGCATTGTAATTTGGATAAATTCAAATTTGAAATTTTTTTAATTTAGTATTTGTTTACACTCCAGGATTTCCCTCATGTATATAACAATTTAATCTGACAAAACTTGTGTGAAAGTGTAAAAAAATTAAACATTAAATACAAAAATCATATAATGAGACTTTTGATCTTATTACTGACTTAAACAAATAAAAGAGAAAATAATTAGATATTTTAGATTAAAAAACAGGAAACTCAAAGAGTGAAATTATGTATTATAAATTTAATATACAAAAAAAGTTAAATATAAAAAGGAAAAGATTTAAATGCTGCTCAATAATTTAAATACCAACAAAACACAATAACACTGTATTTAAGATCTAAAAAGCTAGGTAACTTGCAAGTGAAGGGAGTAATAAATCAAATTGTGTATGGAAAAATTGTTTAAATTAATATGAATGTATAAATGTATATTAGAAAAAAAATATTTAAAATTGAGCAAGAAGAGAGCAGGAGATGAAGCAGAAAACGAATAACTGAATTGTTAATAACTGACTATTAATTAAATTTAAACTACATATATAAAGCATATGCATAAAAGGATATATATGCATGCAAGCATGTGAACACATTTAAACAAATGTTCTACATCTAATTATTTATGTAAATTGTATTTTCAAAATTATTTATTGTTGTTATATATATTTAAAAAAATATTGTAATTATGCTAGTACAATAAATAATTAAATAATAATAAATTTACAAATAATAAATAATAAAAAATATATAAATACATAATATATAATATAAAAAAATTAGCAACTGCCAGCGAGCAGCTGGCCATTAAGAATGGCATGAAAAAACAACGTAGAAAAATGCATTTAAATTGATTTTATGTACAATTATTTATTATACATACATACATACATGTGTATAAATATTTTGTAAAATAAAAAAATTAAATAACCAGTGTAAATAAACTGATGTTTGGTATAGAAAAAAAATACGATAAAAAAGATTCCTCGATGATATTTAAAAAAAGCATTTTAACAAAACGAAATTAAATCAAAGCGTAGTTGATAAGATGAAAAATAACGTAAAAGTGAAGAAAGAAGTTAATAAGGAAAATAAAAATATACTTAAAACTAAATTAACTAAATTACAAGCTCAGTAGATTACTAAAAAGCAGCACAGGAGACAGCCAACGTCGACCTCAAAATAATTGGATTTAAATACAGGCAACAACAACAACAACAGCAACAAAATGACAAATATACAAAGACAACTAAAGCCGAAAACGCAGCCAAACGAAATTCATATTCCAATTACACACACACACACACACACTACATGCGAATTGAAATGATTTTAATGCACAATAACAACAACTAACATTTAATTGTGTAAACAGAAAAAGAAAAAAAACGAGCCAACACTACAAACAAACATATAAGAAGACACCTACACAGCCAACACAAACACCGTAAGGACTTTGCCATAAACCAGCAAAAAATGACTGCAAACAAGAACAGCAAGAACAAATAAATATTTTTTGGCGACTGCATAGTATTAAACACCATAAATTTAATTATAATTAATTAATGTTTAATATATTAATAAATAATATAACTAATGGATAATTAAATTTTATACGTAACACCTTTCACAAAACGAACAATTAAAAGTGTAGCAATACAAACATATACATACTCGTACATACATACCGAAATATTAAAATTCATACATACATATGTATATAGTACATACATATATATACTATACATATGACATAGGCAAGTGGCAAGTATTTGGTGGTGGCCGACAAATGGCCAAAAACTAAAATCCTGTGTAAATTATTAACGAATAAATAGATATAAATGAATAATTTAAATAAGTAAACTGACTAACAATGAATGGAGATTAAGGTAATTATTTAATAAAAATTAAATTAAAAGCATATAAAAAAAAACGAAAAAAACTAAAAGCTCATAACTAAAGACAAAACAAATTAAATAAATATAAAAAAGGAAAAATATTATAATTTTAAGTTGTGAAGTGTGGCGACAAAAGGAGAATGCCTAGTTAAAGAATTAATTCAATAAAGTGTAATATAGGAAGTAAAAAATATGGTATTTTATTTATAGATAATTAATAATGATATTTCTTATGGCATTCAGTATGTCTGGCAGTAAATATGTCTAGTCTCTGAATATCTTTACGCGATAATAGTTCCAGTGAGCATCGAGTCGAAGTGGAAAATCGATGCAACCTGCTGTTTTATGATAGTTTTTCAGATTTCAGATTTCAGTTCAAGTAACGATTATAGTGGGCTCAAGGCTGCATCGCACTCTGGGAGAAATTTAATTTTCAAAATAAATATTTGCCCCATTCCCATTTTGTATTCGATTACTAATATATCTGTTAAACCGAAAACGTTTTACGCTCAGCTGAGGGCGGTCAAACTTACCTAAGTTTTTGTCGTTGCTAACAAAAACTTTCCCGCCTTTTTCAAGTGACTACTGCAAATTGCAAAGCGTATTCGAAATTTAATCTCAAAATTGGATATGAGAGAGAAAACCAATATAATTGGAGAAAATTTGAAAAAAAAAAAATAACAAGAACTGGTTCGAATTGAACTTATTTGACGAACTTAACTTCGAATACTGGAAGGCCATATAAGAGCTTTAGTGAATGTCTAGAAAACAAGAAAGAGTTTAGATACTTGGTAACACCAAAGAAATAACGTGCGGGAGATCAAGACTGCGAGTAGCACTAGTTTATACCCGGCTGGCAAAAGAAATTCATCTACGGTGGTATCTTCGCTGAAACTTGATGAAGAACTGTTATTCAAACTGATGATATTAAACAAATTAGTTATACGTCAGAGGAAGCTTTAGGTTTTTACGAAGGGTTAACAAAAGTTCGGTAAGTTGACAGAAAAAAAATCGTTTTGTATTTATTCGTATTCTTTGTCCATTTTATCTTCTATACATGACCTCAATGCATCCCTTAAGCCCGTAGAACCACCTCTGAAGACTGCCTTCAAAATCTTGCTTTTAAGCTTATCAAGGTCACCATTATCCGCATTAATTACCACCTCGTTGCTACTAACGACCATTTCCTTTACATTTTTTTTTATTTTCGTAAATAAACCAGAAATCACAAGATCCGGGGACTACGGTATTAGACGTATTTCTTCGATCCCAGAGTTCGCAACAAAATTAATCGTTATATCAAAAAAAGGTGTTTTCCAACAAATTTTTGAAAACTTTTGGTAGACTCTCATCGGTGTATCATTTCTCAGTTACCACCTGACCCTTTTCAGTGGAATAGCAGCTACGATTTTAGATCGAGCGAAGTAAATCGGCATCATTACTTTTGCTGCTGATTTTTGTTGCTTAGTTTGTATGGTTGGGTTTGCTTCTGTTGGGCTCCCTACTATGGACTGCTGTTTGATTTCTGGATCATACTTATAGTACCAAGATTCGTCACCAGTAACGATTTTACTAAATTTGCTAGACTGACCATTTTCGAATTTCTTTAGAAAAAATTGGCCAAAATGCACTCGAGCCTCTTATTGGCTTCATTTAAATTTCGTGGTACCCATCGAGCAAAATTTTCGCGTTGAATACTTTATATTCGCAGAACAGCGATGGCATTAAAGCCGAATTCATTAACATTTATTTCTTGTGTAAATCGGGTGTCTTCGTAATTTTTTGACTTCACCAGAGTTACAGTGATGTTATGAGTGAAAGATTTTGGTCGACCTTCTTGAGGATAGTGCCCTACGGAAAAAAACCCAGTCTGGAATCTTCGGAATCACTCAGAGGTGGT